TGATTTTCTTGTGAGAAGAATTTTTTTTTATATTCATTATTATATTCAAAATCAAAAACTTTATTACTCTATCAATTGATGATAGTGATAAAAAATTCTGCCACTATGACAATAATCAGTAGCGATATCTGTAATAATTTCGAACGCAGTAATAATCCAGCAATAATGAAATCCAAAATATTTTGTAAATAAGAAATTTAAGAAAAATGAGTAATCATTGGAGGAGTTCATCCAAGGATATGTGCAACATAGTCATCCTCTTCAACAACAGGATTTTCGTAATTGAAACTTAATCAGGCTTGCCTATAGGATGACTCGATTGGAGAACTACGATTTTGGAAAAATAAATGCTCTTCTCAATTAAATGAGCATTTGGCAAAAGTAATTTTTTTCTCAGTGTCAGTTGTCGTATATTCTCTTTATTTTTTGTCCCATTTATGTATGATCTCTCGACCTTTACATATAACTCACCCCTATTTGGTTTGTTTTCCTCGAATGTTTTTCCTCCCCTGCGTATTTATGCTGCATTCACAGTGTAGTACCGAACTACTATTCGGCAAATAGAGAAAACGTGGAAAAGCTAGATGGAGGATGAATAGATGATACTAACATGAACAAATTCAGTTTTCGGAAAATAAACATCCTCAGGTTGAATAGTTTTTCAAAACAATTTCAAAGGTCAACCCATTTTCATTTTATTGTACCATGCAATTATAAAGCTTCTTTGAAATCAACACAATCCTCGTACCTCTTCTATTATTAGTGTGAGGAGTATTCCTAGGCGGACACCCATAAGTACAAGCCACGCTGAACGCTAGCTTGGATGTTCGTCCGAGCACCACCTTACTCACGCAACCATTACTGTAGGTTGCAAGGAATATGTATACAATGACAAAATGCATCTTCACACTTCCCCTGCAACTGATTTTATAAAAATTAAGTATCTTGTAATAATTCAATATCTTTCAAATTGACATCCTCTTCCCTTTGGTCACACCTGAATAAATTCTCGTACGCCATTATAATTTTATTTCCAAAAAATCCGATTTTCTTGGCGTCTAAATCTTTTACTTTTTTTTTCCTATCGTAGAAATGAACAAGTAGTCTTGCCTTATTCGATTCGCCAATAATATCTTCTTCCTCCTATTTTTTTTGTTTTTTTCCATTTCGAATGGAACCGACGAAGGCCGGGAACACGAGACAGGTCTTCGATCGTTCCTCTCCGCACAGCCCCGGGCGTCTTTCCAATTTCTAACGCGCACCTCCGATTCCCCAGTTTTCCGTTTTTCTTTATCCTCTGAGGGAGCTCTTTGGGGAGATCCATCAGGGCTTCGACGTACATTTTCTTGCTCGTAGATGGTTTCTTGTTCGTGGGATAATATAGACGCTCGATAGAATCCTAGAGACAAGTGGTAAAGCGAATTGAATCAAGTATGGAACGTTTGCTCATTAGGAGATTATCTGCAAAATGATTGATTACACGGAAAAATGTCAGAAGATTCCTTCAATTATTAGAATTTAATTATTTATTTCCATGATGTTACAAGCGTGTCTTCCTCGTTTTCCTTCTGCGTCAGCCCTTTCCAATTTTCCATTACCTCCACCACAGCAACCTTAAGGAGAAACGGAACACCTCTGTCAATATGAACTTCTAGAATTGTGTTTTCTCCTACAATTATTAATTTTTATCAATGAAACTTCTTTATCGACTCGATCATTGCATTATTGAGTCAATGACGTGGTTCCGTAAATAAAAAATAATAGATGCTGGAGAAAACACAATTCTAAAAGTTCATATAGACACAGGGGTTCTGTTTCCTATTAACCCTCTTTGAAACTAGGCGTTGTTCTCACAGTCCGTCTGAAACACGGACGTCCCTAGCCCCCACCACGACCTCCTTGCTACGTTCTATGATGCTTAGGTAAATGGAGGGTCAAGGGATTCCTATGCAACTTGGGTCTGTGTTTGCTCTAAAAAAATAAAGATTGCATCTAAAACAATAAAAATAATGTAGAATTCAACTCATTTTGCCCTGTCTTTCATGGTTTTGAGAATGTCAAATGAAAAATAGATCAGATAAACTTCTTTATTAGTTTAATTATTTATTCGATGATACAGAGACATTAATCGTTATTGAATATTGACATAGAAGTAGTTCCTCCTCTTTGTTTTTGCCAAACATGTAGGGAAATTCAAGTGTCACGGTCGGATCTAAAATAAAATAATCACCTAAATGGAGATATATGATGGCTTCTATACCTTCAAAATCGTTTTAACTAGCAGAAAAAAATTATTCCAGGTGAAAATAATAACCCAAAGACTAATTAATCTACGTTAACCCACAGGCTATTTACTCGGTCAAACCTTAGGTGTTATCAAGGTATAAATTACCGTGGGGTCACGTAGTATATGAATATACCGGTCGAACAATAATTTCTTTCATTATAAAGAATAATTAAATTGAGAAATTGTAGAAAGCAGCCCAAACTCCTAATTTCTGGACGACTGAGCCATATTTTTTTTCATTTATTGAATGTTGATCAATAGAAAAAATAATTGATCACATGATTATACACGAGTAATATTATTGCAAAGTTAAATAATCAGTACCTTTTCCATTTTACTTATGGAACATTCAATGTAAGTTGAAATCGTCCAGAANAAAAAAAAAAAAAAAAAAAAAAAAAAAAAAAAAAAAAAAAAAAAAAAAAAAAAAAAAAAAAAAAAAAAAAAAAAAAAAAAAAAAAAAAAAAAAAAAAAAAAAAAAAAAAAAAAAAAAAAAAAAAAAAAAAAAAAAAAAAAAAAAAAAAAAAAAAAAAAAAAAAAAAAAAAAAAAAAAAAAAAAAAAAAAAAAAAAAAAAAAAAAAAGAAACTAACCCCCGTCCGGAAATTGACCTGATTACCCTATCAAACATACACACTATGACCATCCATTAAAAATTCTGTAGCTGGCTTTTGTTATTAGTTTCTTAATTTTGTTCAGAAAACTCCAACTTCTGAGCCATTACCGGTCATTAAAACGATTTGATTAATCACTCGAATTTATTAAAAATTAATTTTTTTCCAAATTTTTTATGAAAGTTCTATTTTTCAAATAAGGGATCTTCTCAATTTTCTGGAGCAACCAAATGAAAATTTCCCTAGACAGTTTTTTTCCAAAAACATTTTTTTATGTTTTTTTAGGAAGATTTGGTATTCAAAAATTAGGATGAAAAGTTACATTGTAGTAATTCAAATGGTTTTGAGTCCAGGCCTTGGTAAAATCTACCCTGAATTATTGCACGTAATAGAAAGTTTCTAAGTACATTATCTATCCGTGATTGGAAACTACTTCTTTTTCCCGTGTTCTGAGACAGTTTCTTACTTCTGAATAATGCTGACCCAAAACTGGTACACGCTTTCAATGTCTCGTTAACGAACGACACTGGCAACATATTGGTGACATTATTTTCCACCGACATTACGCAACTTGATTTCCAATGGAGCTTACAAATTGTACCTCGTTATGTCCCTTCAATCACCAATATTTCGCACCATTCCTACTTTTATTCCATTTTTTTGTTTAAATTCCCTAGCGACAGGGAAAACGAGCTGCATCTACGTGCTCCTGGGGGATCATTTATCAACACAGATTTCAGGATTTTTTGCTGACTTTTTTTGTGATTTTTGCTGTAGACTTTTCATTTTTATTGGCTTCCATGAGTGTATGTGACGTGCTAGATGATTGGGGGAGAAATTTCTGCCGGAGATGGACTCGAAAATTTTAATGAGGTCAATTGTGTGATGTTGATGGTCACAACTGTTATTACTTATCAAATTGATTCCATTGGGAAAAATTGAAACCCTTCACCAGTATGTTACTCATCAGATATTGAGGAATTTTGAGAGGGAAATAACTCCAAGTGATAATGGGTACTTCCTGAAGTATTTTTTGGGATTCGATTTCAGCGAAAAAAGGAAGTTATCTAGTCAAATGTTCATCATATATTCAGTTCTAAAGTATTGAAACATACACGGAGAGAAAATGTGGTTGTAAGAAATTTATGGAACTGTCACGGAATTTTTCCAGAGCGCTCCGTAATTTTTATCTGAATCTCCTGTGAAAAATTATGATACCCTCACTTAAATGTTCTGAGTCGATTCCGTAATCGGTGAGTGAATTGTGAGTTCCGTAATTTTTACTGAATATTTCTTTCCGTGTACCCATGGTAGTGACTCTGTTGGAATTCCATATATGGAATTTGTTCAATACTTAATTATAGATGACAAGTCATATCGAAAAAACTTTTTCAGTTGAGAATTGCTTCATACTTGGCAAATTTTTATTTTATCGTCTCAATACCAATGAGTATGAACAACGGATTCTATTGCTTGAAATCGTCAAAGCAATTTTTTCATTTCTGTTCAGTACAATTTTTTTTTCTTTATATTTTTACCGCTCTTTGATTATTGCTTTCTCAGTTCTTCTCAGGTCTCCCGCAGTTCCCCCATGAAAGTACCCTTCGGTTGCAATGAATTTATAAATTCATGCTGTCATGGGAATATTAGTAATTACTTAACATGAAAAACTCAGTTTTGTTGAATTTCCAACGTGAATAATAAATTGTATCCAAATTGACAATATTATAAATTCACATGCCTCTGTGACCGACGAAGAAAATCTCGGAAAAATTATGTGACAAAACCTCATCCTGAGATAACATTTTCTTCCTGAATTTTAGGTAAAAAACGAAAAAGATGCCAAGCAAAAATAATTTTTCCTCTTACATTCTGTAAATTTTATGGATTAAAAGGTAATTTAAACATAACACTTCGTAAAATGCGCATAAAGAACAGTGAATTCTACAGACTATTATTTATACATCATGGTTACGCCTTACAATGTATTACGTGATAAAATTTCAAAAAAATTTTGATAGTGTACATCACGAAAGTTGATCCTCATGAATAAATAAAAACAGAATAAATTCTAACAGACCCATTGAATTGAATTTTTCAGGTTGTCCAGACGCCGCCGACCTCGGGTACAGGGCAGCCACTACGTCCAAAGAGTAGCCTAGATACAAGTGGTATAGTAGCATCAATTTCAGGTGTAAGAAGACGAAGTGGACCCCAGGGATTACGTTCACCAGCGGCCAAGAGGCCGCTATCAGCTCCGGTGGCTCTTCAAGGATGGCTGCACAAACAGGGCTCAGAGGGTCTCATGTTATGGAAGAAACGATGGTTCGTTCTATCCGAGTACTGTCTGTTCTATTACAAAGGTGAGTTCCACCTCATTCTCCACTTACCCCAGAACCCATGAAAATGATGACGTATGAGGTAAAAAGTAACTCCCATCGGTTTCTTCTTCTTTTCTCACCCTTTTTTCAAACTCGTTATCATACTTTGAGCATTCAAGATGAGACCAGAATCATTTGAAAGACTAGTTGAAAACTCCCAGAAAAACCTTAGTCGAGCGTTCTTCTTAGTCGTGCATCTTCAAGGCACACGAGAATGCAGAAAATGAAAAAGAAAGCTCGACACCTTTAATAATGCAGATCCTTGAGAGTCGTGCCTTCCCCTCTCATCTCTGTTCAACTCACGATTTTTGGTATCTCTTTTTATCAAACTTTCTCGCTCCATAGAGGGTTCTTTGCGACTGAGTGAATGGTATTCTGCATTGGCACTCAAATTATTCGAATAAATTTTCTATTGCAATCTGCTACGATATTGCGTATACCTTCTCACAATTGTCCTTGGGCTTGTTCAACATGAATTTGAATCATATTTCAACAATTTATATTAGAGTTTTTAATAGGGTCTAATAATAGTTAGAGGGGAAGGTTTTGTTCATGTACGAAATACCTTGCCATTATTACCTCTACCGCTGGCACATTCTTGAAATTTCAGAGGATTCAATTCATTCCAGCGAGTGATTAAGGATATCCAAGTAATTTGATAGTTTTTATATTCAAATATTGCTCAAAGTTTCCAGTTTGGGCAGGTGCGTTTTTATTCAAGTGTGAAATATACTACATGATGTCCCAAAACTCTAATGACATTTCTGTCTCATGAACCGAAAAATATAGATAAAACCTGGGTGGTAAACATGTAGCAATAGTATATTCCCTACTTAGGGAGGGAACATAAAGGAGTCGTGCCCACATGCAGACTGCAACAGAAAATTTATTCGAATAAACCACCCGAGCCGAAGGTCGGCCCGTCGGTAAGGGTCCTTTATTTAAACTGCCGTGGTCAGGACGTTATTTTCCGTGACGGGGCAGGCGCGAAGTCAGATTCGCGGAAGGGACATGTGCACTTTGCACCTGTCGTGGCGGAAAATATGTTTTCGTAATTCCGGCCGTAAGGCAACGCTTCACTGCTTACAGCCGTTACGACAAAAAATATTGTTCGTCACACGGCCGCAATAGTATATTTCGGCCGAATGACGAAATGTACTATTTCAAACTATTTTTAACATTCAAACATCAATGAATTTTTCGTTTTCAAATAATCTCTATTCTTCAATTGAATCACTCAATTGATTCTTCGACCATAATACAGTCATACATATACACATATGTTGAAGGCGGTATGCTACATGCTACCCTTTCATTCTCAATGTTTCTATATGAAACAACCATTGAAGCTAATCTTACCTTGTCAAGACTTGAATTTGTATCCACAATACATCTGTCAGAATACCCTGGTAGATAGGGAGTCTATATCATATCACTAGACTTATTGGTTTCACCTACCACCACGATAGGTTACTCACAAGGATAGCGATGTGAACGCTAAGTCTCAGATTTTATCCTTATAAATATTGGAATTAACGAGGCAGGGATTTGAACCCAATTCTTGGTATAGTGCGCATGGGTTACTAACTCGACCACGCTACCACACAAGACGTAAGGAACAATTGTCGAATGAGAATGCGAAAGGGGCGCCATCCGGTAGTGACGCCACGGAGTATGGTTTTTGGGGTAAAGAAGAGTTTTCAAGTTAGAATTGTACAGATAAATTCAAAATAATATTTAGTTTAAGATAATCAATTAGGGAGATATCTCAAGCACATTGAATTATACGATATCATAGGGACAAAATGGATATTCACTGACCTCATTCGATTTCTTCGCAGTAAAATGGATATTTTCTGAACCACTACGATTTCATGGGGGTAAAATGGGTATTTACTGACCACATACGATGTCGTGGGGGCAAAATGGGTATTCTGTGAACTTTTACGATTTCATTGGGGTAAAATGAGTATTTCCTGGCCACATACGATTTCATTGGCGCAAAATGGGTTTTTCTTATATTTATACGATTTCATTAGGGCAAAATGGGTATTTTCTGACCTCACTCGATTTCTTAGGGGTAAAATGGGTCTTTTCTGTACTCTTACGATTTCATGGGGGCTCCTACGATTTCAAGTGGGTTTTTCGTGTACTCCTACGATTTCATGGGGGTAAAATGGGTATTTAATAACCACATACGATTTCATCGGGGCAAAATGGGTTTTTCGTGAAGTCATACGATTTCATAGCGATAGAATGGGTGTTTCGTGTACTTCTACGATTCCATAGCGACAAGATGGGTATTCTGTGAACTTAATAAAAGTTAATAAAATTTGATAAAACTCATCATTACATACATAAATAAGATATCACATGTATATCATCACGATTTGGACCACGGCTATCTTCAAAACTACACCGTGTAGAGATGTGATGACTTCATCCCTATACTGTATACTGATCCGTTGCAACTGTGGTTCATTGAGGAAATAACGGATTTAGGGGACATATCCTACCAGACAGGTAAGTCTTTTATACTTTTCTTTTAATAATAACATTATGACTCTTTTTCGTAATTTTCATCTAGGTCACAATGCTTCTGTGTATTAATTATTCATTCTTTTCCAAATCGACAATTATTATCGAAATTATTATATTCTGTTACTATTATATTCTGTTATTATTGTATAAATAATTTTAATAGAAAAACGTACGGCATTACAGGACCGCCAGGGAATAGTGTCGTTATTTTGGCGGTTCTACGGAGATGTTCTTCCATATTTCCACGCTTTTCCGTGGAATCATTTCTTTGTATTTCCTACAAATAGGAACTAATACCTCGTATAAAAAATACCGGAGGGAATAGCAAATATTTAAGTTTCAATTTATTCTGAGCTATTTCAGCATAACTTAGAGGTACCTTGATTGGAACCATTTGCACATATTTTGTAAATGCTTCACAAATTACAGGCCAACGGTTGTCTAACATTTCCTGAGGGAATTGCAAATTTCAACTTTTCAGATGATTTTCAGACATCTCAATCTATCTTTCGGATACAATTTCTTCAAAACTTTTTACGGAGAAATTCTGAACATTTTGGAAGATTTTTGAAAAAATAACTTATTAATCTTATAAAAAATTCCTTTCCGGATTGCGTATAAAACCCTATAGAATTTACGTACATGATGATCGGATATTTGTATAGGAATATTTCCTATACGATTTATTTCTATACATAAATTTTGACGCAATTTTTTGTTTTCGTATGAAAGATATGTAAACGCTCTAGAGAAAAACGTAGAGAAATGATGCATCTCCATATGAAATGTTTATATAGGGGAGGGTGGGGCAAAACGGCCCCCCTTCAATTGTCAATAACTTGTGAATAACATTGTGAAAATTCCCAGTTTCAACTTCATTTTGAAGATAATTTTTCATTCTTCAAAACGAGCTTTAACTCATCCCAATCGGATTATTGAATCGGAAAATATTGATGATTGAAGGGGGGCCGTTTTGCCCCATCCTCCCCTACATGAGGCAGTTTGTCGTATAGGATCAAACCTATAGAAATCGTATAGAAATAATTTGTATTCAAAATATCCGTATCAAAATATCCGAATATCATTTTATACCATTTTGCCCCGATGAAATCATATGGGGTCAGTAAATTCCCATTTTACCCTAATGAAATCGTAAAAGTTCACAGAATACCCATTTAGCCCCTAAGAAATCGTATGAGTTCACGAAAAATCCATTTTGCCCCTATGAAATCATATGAGGTCAGTAAATACCCGTTTTACCCCAATGAAATCGTAAAAGTTCACAGAATACCCATTTAGCCCCTAAGAAATCGTATGAGTTCACGAAAAATCCATTTTGCCCCTATGAAATCATATGAGGTCAGTAAATACCCGTTTTACCCCAATGAAATCGTAAAAGTTCACAGAATACCCATTTAGCCCCTAAGAAATCGTATGAGTTCACGAAAAATCCATTTTGCCCCTATGAAATCATATGAGGTCAGTAAATACCCGTTTTACCCCAATGAAATCGTAAAAGTTCACAGAATACCCATTTAGCCCCTAAGAAATCGTATCAGTTCCCGAAAAACCCATTTTGCGCCCATGAAATCGTATGAGGTCAGTAAATACCCATTTTACTCCAATGAAATCGTAAAAGCTCACAGAATAACCATTTTGCGCCAATGAAATTGTAAAAGTTCACAGAATACCCATTGTGCCCCAATGAAATCGTATATGGTCAGTAAATACCCATTTTACCCCCATGAAATCGTAGGAGTACGCGAAAAATCCATTTTGCCCCCATGTAATCGTAGGAGTACAGAAAAGGCCCATTTTACCTCTAAGAAATCGAATGAGGTCAGAAAATATCCATTTTGCCCCTATAATATCATATAATTCAATGTGCTTGAGATCTCCTTAATTGATTATCTTAAACTAAATATTATTTTGAATTTATCTATACAATTCTAACTTGAAAACTCTTCTTTATCCCAAAAACCATACTCCGTGCCGTCACTACAGGATGGCGCCCCCTTCGCATCCTTATGGAGTTATTGAGGTCTCACATAAAGAAAGTAGAGATGTGTTTATCATAAACAACTTATATTTAATCAGTTCAATCACTTAGTAGTTAGTTATTAATACAAAAGTTGGAACGCCACAGCTGCGGTAGATATGTGGAAACGTAGGAATAATGAATAATGGCGGTTTGGATATTTTCGTTAGTCTTCGTTATTCCGATCGTGGAATTAGTGTCTGCTTTCGTCGTTGGCGCTGAGGGCGAGCTCCGTCGGCAACGATGGGATCTGACTGAGCCTCAGCCGCCACAACCACTCCCCCCCCCAGTGACCTGACTGGGTAAAGAAGGGGACGAAACTTTCTTTGGAGTTTTGGTTACTCTGGCGTAAGTCCTTAGAAGTAGATCCATGTTTAGAGAACGATGTTCTTCAGGTACAGCG